TCAGATATGAATGCTTGAGAAAAGCAGCAGGGATAGTAAGAGCAGGAATAAAAATAACTGATAGTTGGAGATTGAGTCACAGCCAAAAGTAACTCTGATAGTTATTCCTCTTCGGGAAATATTTATTTGATATGACAAACTTTTTGGGGATAGCTTTGTGTGTCCTGAGTATCATAAGATGGATATGTGTAATTCAGGACAGGCAGAAAAGAGGTGTTAACAAGCTTGTCAGATGGACAACTAGAATTGTGCTATTTGTCTCAGCAGTTCATTCTTACACTACAAACATCAGCGTTAGCCTCTGAGAGATAGGAAGTATTGTAATACCTTGTTTGTGCACAAAGGGAGTCCTCCTGATTTTTTAATGCCTGTCTGCAAGCCTACATTCATCATCTATGCATTCCTCCATTCAAAACAATTCCTGTGCCAGTCAGTGTGATTGTGAATGATCATTATCCTGCTGATAAGAATATTCAGGAACTGCAATGTTTCCGTAATCCTGTTGTGAATCAGTGATGCCACCAACCTAAAAAGCTAGCTCTTTTCTCCAGCCTTAACCTACGTTGTGCACTGCTCCCGAGCATAAATCACAAAAGACGGAACTTGAAGTGATGTCTAATTGTGCCACTAACATCAGGTGATAGCCCTATGGTTAGATAGAAAGGTAATATATTGTAATAGAAATTGCAGGTTAGAAGTGGTTTCATAGTTTCAGTCACACATCGAGGGAGGTGAAGTTGTGTGTGTTTGTGTGATTGGCGGTTGGTGAGTTAGAACTTTCCAACCTTTGTAGTTCAATCCTTTCATCTTATTTTATTTTATTTATTTATTTGTTTTTTTGAGATGGAGCCTTGCTCTGTCGCCAGGCTGGACTGCAGTGGTGCGATCTTGGCTCACTGCCACCTCCACCTCCTGGGTTCAAGTGATTCTCCTGCCTCAGCCACCCAAGTAGCTGGGACTACAGGTGCATGCCACCACGCTCGGCTAATTTTTTTTGTATTTTTAGTAGAGACGAGGTTTCACTGTGTTAGCCAGGATGTTCTCGATCTCCTGACCTCCTGATCTGCCCACCCTGGCCTCTCAAAGTGCTGGGATTAGAGGCAGGAACCACCACAAGCGCCCCCTTTCATCTTATTTTGAAGAAACTGAGGACCAGCAAAACTGGGCAGCTTCTCAAACTTGCTCAATGTGTTAGCATTTGAAACAGACATGTTCAAATGGTCTCATTTTTAGCAATTTCCATACCCTTTATAATTATCCCCCCAAAATTAGGCATTATATTTTCTCATGGCGGATAAGCAGTTTAAACTCTTGCCTAATGCTTATTCCATTTGTTCTGGAATAACTAGTGGTCTCCATGTCACTATGTCAGAAAACCATGATCCAGTAGTATATCAATGATCTAAATCTATCATAAAATTCCTGGTCTCTAAGACTTTTCCGTTCTATTTCCTCACTCTTAAAATACCTCTCCTGTCCCATGCACTGCTCTGGTTGCCAGAGGGCTACTCATTCACCCAGGTTCAGCTCAAGTCTAGCCTTTCCATGAAGTTAACCTTCTGCACACCCATGCAAAGATGCCAAGTTGTTTGTACCTTTTTTTTTTTTTTTTTTTTTTTTTTACAAAGAGCCTTACTCCATCGCCCAGGCTGGAGTGCAGTCGCACGATCTCCACTCACTTGTTACCTCCCCCGCCCAGGTTGAAGCGATTCTCCTGCCTCAGCCTCCCGAGTAGCTGAGATTAGAAGGCCCACCACCACCACGCCCGGCTAATTTTTGTATTTTTAGTAAAGACGGAGTTTCACCATGTTGGCCAATCTTGTCTTAAACTCCTGACCTCAGGTGATCCGCCCACCTCGGCCTCCCAAAGTGCTGGGATTGCAGGTGTGAGCCACCGCGGCCGGACTTGTTTGTACCTCTTTACAGTGTTATGTCACTCACTCAATTGTCATTCATTTTTATTTCCCATTAGAAGCAGCTCCACAAATGCAGACATCCTATCTGATTTATTCCTAGGCTTCCTAACAAGCAGCATATGAGCCTTCCTTTCAGCTCAGGTAAACGGAAAGAAATAAAGAGCACTATATAGTAAATTGATTATAGAAAGGTGCCCTCATTGTTAGATACTCCTGCTTTACAATTAAATGGTAAACTCTTTGAGGGTTAAAGGTCTTTTCTCATAACCATCTCATTGTTTTTCATACTTCTAGCACAGACTTGTAGGCTCCACAATCTATTATTGACTTATCCAAGAAAATGAAAAGGGAAGTTAGGAGGCTGAGGGAGTCTGTTAACTTCAGGGAGAGGAACAGACTTCTGGAAACAAGAGTTTCACTTGGCCTTTCTGCCTCTGGCCTCCTTACTTTTTTGTCATAAGTCTAACCACATTCAGGTACATTTCCTTTTGGTAAAATGTTTTACCCTTTCTCTTCATTTTTTTGAAAACCTCATCCTTATAACTTACCTTTCAGCTTGCTTTCACTTTAGTTCTGAATTTTTGGAAGCAACTGAATCAAGAAGTCTTAAAGTGAACTTGTTTGAGGTCTCAAAGCAATTATAAATAAATAAATTAAGAGGTTCTAAAAGTTTTCTGCAGGTCCTTTGTCTCACTTTGATTCCTGGAAATTTAAGTTTCTGAGCAGGGATTAATGAGATGTGAGCAGGAAGTGTTTTTAAGTAGGATGTGAGTGAAAGATATATTAGATATGAGGAAATAGAAAAAGTGAGAATATCTATGCTGACAAGAATGTCGAAATAAGGTGAAACCTTGTTCTGGATAGACAAGTATGTGAAAATCAGGGTCAAAAGTTGCTCCTTGGTTCAACATCTGACAAGCTCTGTGATCACAGGCAAGGCCTTTAGCTGTCTTTGTATTTAGAAGAGAGTTTTGGCTATATCTCAGTTACGCTTATCCCACTATAATGTATGATACTGTAACTCTATTTAGAAGAAAGCATGAGGATGAGTGAAATCAATTAGTGAAGGAGATGGATTAGACAGATTGACAAGAGAAAGGGTAGTTGCAAACATAGAAGGAAAGGCTAAGAAAGAACTATAAGAGTGGAGAAAAAAATAATTAAAAGAAAATACTTTTAGGATAATGTGTTTAGCCTTAACTTTACTGGAAAACAAAAAATACATATCAATCAATGCAAAGTGCATAACTAAAGGGAAACGAGAAACAAGTCATTGGAAACTGGAGTAAAGGCCATCGTTGTTACACAGTTGCCAAGAACTTGGTAGAAGTATATCTACGTCTTAGGACTTTATGGAAAACAGAAATTAAGAGCAATAATTTAGGATATTTGGTGGAAGAAGTATCTAAGCAGCAAAGCGTTCAGGCTGCTGTGTGGCTACTTTTAACTACATACAGTAAGAGGCAAGAGTGGAAAAAATGACTTAAAAATGGCTTTTATAATTAAAAGAGAAGCAGAATAGAAAGATTTAGAAAATTCGCAGCCTAGCTGTATAAAACACGAAAAGCCATATTTGGGAGAAAATACTAAGGGCATGGCCTAGAGACCATTGTTAAAGAGATGAATATGGCTAGAAGGGAGTGAAATACTATTCAAGATATTGAGAAAAAGGCCCTGAAGGCATTTCAAAGATCTTGGAGGCTGCCCGTTTCATCACAGGCTCAGAGCTCAGAGAGCAAATTGGTTTTAGGGGAAACTGGAGTGCCGTTTACAGGCTTGCTGCCCAGATCTGCCTCAGGTTTTTGCTCTCTGAATTCCAGCACAGTGCTCCTTGGCTGCTCCAGCCATGGCTCAAGTGAGCCCAGGTGCAGTTCAACCCACCACTCCATAACGTGCAGTTGGTAAGACTTGGTGGCACCCACTTGATAAGTTTGCAGGCTAGCAGAATGCAAGAGGTGTGGGCCACAACTACCTCTGTGTTCAAAGGATGTACTGGACAGCCTGAGGGCCCAGGAAGTCCACTCCCATGGCAATGCCTAGTGGAGCCATGGCAGTGGACTGCCATGGAGACCCCAGAAATGTAGAGCTACTAGCCTGAAGCATTAGCCTGGGAGAGCTGCAGGGATGAGTCTCCAACTTGTGAGAGCTGAAGCGTCAATTAAGCCTGGCCAAGCCATTTTATTTCTCTGTTGGGCTTTGGACTTAACTTGGAACCTGTTACTTTCTCATTTTTGCCTATTTCTCCCTTTTGGAATGGGAATCTCTGTCTTATATCTGTCCTGCCAGTGTATTTTGGAAGTAGATAACTTGTTTTGATTTCACAGGATCATAGTTGGTGGGAATTTGCCTCACAGTGAATCATGCCTTGAATCTCACCCATATCTAATTTAGAAAAGACTGAATTTGGGGCTTTTGAGTTGATGCTGGAGCAAATTAAAACTTTTGAGGCTATTGAAATAAAATGAATATACTTTGTATATGAAAAGAACATGAGTTTTGGGGGATCAGGGACAGAATTTTATGGTTTGAATGTTCCCTCCAAAATTCGTGTTGAAATTTTATTGCCATTGTAACAGTGTTATGAGATGAGTAGGTTATAAATGTACTAATGCCCTTATTGTAGGAATGGATTAGTTGTCATGGGAGTGGGCTACTGATAAAAGGATGAATTTTGGCCCCCATTTTTCTCTGTCTTGTGTGCTCCCTTCTACCTTCTGCTTTCTGCCATGAGATAATGCAGCAGAAAGGCCTTTGCTAGATGCTGGCACCATGCTCTCGGACTTCCCAGCCTACAGAGCTATGAGCCAAATAAAAATTCTGTGGTTCATAAATTATCCAATCTCAGGTATTCTGTTATAGCAGCAGAAAACAGACTGAGACAGAGGATTAAATGAGTTATTTCATTTTTAAACACACACTTATTATGTGCCTAGTATATATGAGACACTCTAGTGAGGCTTAATTATTAGAAATTTGGGGGTGTTTTTGAAAATTACCATATAATGTTTGAGCACTATTGAAGTCACATATATATGGTCCTTCCAGAAGAGCATATTTGATTTTAGTTTTGTTTTTATCTTTTAGGGAAAGAATCATGTGATGTACAGCTTTACATAAAGAGACAATCTGTATACTCTGTCTTAGCAGGAAAACCCTTTAACCTACAATGCCCTGTGAAATACTGTGCTCACAGGCCTCATGTGACTTGGTGCAAGCTCAATGGAACAAAATGTTTACCACTTGAAGAAGGACTTCAACGACACACAAGTTGGAAAGAAGAGAAGAACATTTCATATTTTATTCTACATTTTGAACAAGTGCTTCCTAGTGACAGTGGGTCATACCGCTGTTCTGCACATTTTTCACTTCAACTCATTGAAAGCCACTCAACAACTGTTTATGTGAGAGGTGAGTTCTCAATACCTCAATCATCTAATATTTTTCTCATAATGTTTCCAGGAAGAGAGGGATTCAGTTTCTCAAGTGATCACGTTAGAAAGTGAACTCCTATAGCACATCCAAAGTTTGTTACACCTTACAGATTATGTGCCAGTGTGTACATATGTGTGTGTATGTGTGTGTTTGAGATGAGTGAGATAGAGGAGGGTAGAGAAAAATATAATAAAAGTTATAGCTTTTCACTTTAGGGATTATAAAATTTATTTGGTAAGTCTAAAAGTAGATCAATGAAATATTGAAAAAATTATGAAGTGAATACCTATAGTTGCAAATAGCTCTGTGATTCTTTGTCCTTGCTTTTTTTCTATTTTCCCCAATTTTCTCTTCTTTACTTTTGTTCATCACAATTTCTTGAAGTTATGTTTGTGGTACTTAGTCAATGACACACTTTTTAATAGTTCACAGTTTGTTTAGAAGAAAAACAGCAAACAAATAACCTGACTCCCTGATGATTTTCTGGGAATATTCGTAGCTTCATTTCTCTCCCCTGTTCCCCCACAGAAGCCTTTAGTAGGGTTTGACAACTGAGGAAGGACAGATAGAAGTTAAGCTCATGGAAACCAAGCTGAATAAAACATGAAAAAATACATAGAGAGAGGGGAGTCAGTGAGAGTAAAAAATATTTGGTTTATAAAAATTGTATAGCTAACATCATATTCAATGGTGAAAGGCTTAGAGCTTTCCGTCTAAGATGAGGAACAAGACATGGATCTTTGCTTTTGCGATTTCCATTTAACATTAAACTGAAAGTTCTAGCCAGAGAAAATAGACAAGAAGAAGAAGTAACAAGTATCTAACTTAGAAAGGAAGAAGTAAAACGTTATTCACAGACGGCATAAACTTATGTGTAGAAAAATTCCTTAAAATTTATTTAAAACTATTAAAGCTAATATATGAATTTAGCAGTTCCACATGATACAGGATTAATACATAAAAATCAATGATACTTCTATATAGTAGCAATAAACAACCCACAAAAATAAATTAAGGAAACGGTTCCATTTACAATAGCATCAAAAAGAATAAATTTCACCAAGAAGGTGCAAAAGTTTTACACTGAACAAAGAAAGCATGGCTGAAAGAAATTCAAGAATATGTAAATAGATGCAAAGACATTCTGTATTCATGGACTGAAAGATGTAATATTGTAAAGATAGCAGTATTCCTCAAGGTGATCTACAGATTCAATGTGGTTCCACCAAAATCCCAACAGCTTTTTGTTGCTATTGCAGAAATTAAAAAGCTGATTCTAAAATTCACATTGAGTTGCAACAGATCCATAATTGCCAAAACAATCTTGAAAAAGAACAAAATTGAAGCTAAGTCTTCCCTATTTCAAAACTTACCACAAAATTACAGTTAAAACACACACACACACACACACACACACACACACACACACACAGAGTATTACTGTCATATGGACAGACAAAGAGATCAATGTAAATAGAATTGAGAGTCCAGAATAAACTCCATACATCTGTGGTCAACTGATTTTTGACAAGGATGACAAGATTATTCCATGGCAAAAGAATAGTCTCAGTAAGTGTGCCAGGAAAATTGGATATTCACATATAAAATAATGAATTTGAATCCCTATCTCACACTATGTTTTAAGAAATCAAAATAAATCAGAAATTTAAGTAGAAGAACTAAAACTATAAAAACTACAGTATATAAAACAATAAAACCCTGGTTTCTTAGGAGAAAACATACGGATAAATGTTTCTAATCTTGGATTTAGCAGCGATTTCTTAGATATGATTACAAAGGCATAATCAACAATAACACCAAAAATAATTAAATTGGAATTCATAAAAATTAAACACTTTGGTGCATCCAAAAATAAAATAAAATTAAATTAAAAAGCAAAAAAAAAAACCCTATAAATTCAACAACAAATAGACTGGCAATCTAATTTTAAAATGAGCAAAGGACTTGAATAGACATTTCATCAAAGAGAGTACACAAATGGCCAATAAGCATATGAAGAAAAATGCACAGTACCGTTAGTTACTAGAGAAATGCAAATCAAAACCACAAGGAAAACCCACTTCTTACCTGTAGAATGACTAGAATAAAAGAAACATGGAAAATAAGAAGTATTAGCAAGGATGTGAAGAAATCGAAACCCTATCCATTGCTGATGAGAATGTAAAATGATGCAGCTACTTTGGAAAATGGTCTAGCAGTTCCTCAAAAGGTTAAACTCAGTTGCCACAGTACCAAGTAATTCTATTCCTAGTTAAATACTCAAATGAAATTAAAATATAAGTTCACACAAAACCTTGTGCATGAATGTTTATCACAGAACTATTCACAATAGCCAAATTGTGGAAGCAAACTAAATGTTCAACTGATGAATGGATAAAGGAAATGTAGGTTATCTGCACATGGATTATTTAGTCATGAAAAGGAATGAAGTACTAATGTATGCTACAACACTGATGAATTGCAGAAGCATTATGCTAAGTAAAAGAAGACATATACAAAAGGTCACATACAATGTGTTTCTGTTTATATGAAATATCCCAAATAGGCAAATCCATAGAGACAGGAAGTAAATTGGTGGTTGCCAGGGGCTGAGGAATGTGGAGTGACTACTTAATACGTAGAGGGTTTCCTTTTGGGGTGATGAAAAAGTTCTGAATCTAGATAGTAGTCATGTTTGCACAACACTGTGAATATCTTAAATGCCATTTAATTGTATATTTGAAATAATTAAAATAGTAATTTCTATGTTATATGTATTTTACCACAATAAAAATATATTTGGATCAAAGAAGAGTGCCCTTTAATTATAAGAAATAAGGTGGAGCTTCTTTTGTTGCTCATAAATTGACCCTTACGGTCATTAGGAAGGAGAAATTTCAAAAGAGGTTTATTGCAATAGCAGCCTGAGTGAACTCTAGTTGCAGCCTCATACAGTTTATTTCCTTTATGGACATTATTCACTTGAATGCATACATTTTACAACTGTTCTTTTTAGAATTAATTTGTTACTTTATATGCTTACTTTTGAGTGTGTTTGCACTCCCTTAAAGTAGCCCAATGAAGGAATCCATTGGAATTCTTTTAAAATGCTTTAAGTCACTTTAAAATTTCTTACAGCAGCCCCATGAAAAAATGCGTAGTGCTTTAGTGCTAGCTGCAACCCTCAATTATGAAAGGCAGGGTATCTGGGACATGGTAGGGGCTCACTAAATAACTCTTTGTAAGTGAATTAAAGAATATATGCAAGGAACAAAAACTGTGTTTATCAACCTGGAGAAGCCTATATTGAGGATGTATGGAATGAACACTTTCTGGAAAGAATTGTACTATTAATTCTCATTACTGAGACAAAATATTGATTTTTTAACAAATATTACTTTTTAAACAGGCAAAATACATTATGAAAATAAGGAAAATCTGCAAAATGTTACTTCTAGAATGATATATACTACCGAATCAATAAGTGCTACTAATTTAGATAATATATATTAACATAATGTATAATGAAATTAAATTTTGAGGCATTGAATCCCCCTTCCCTTCCTTGAAAGATGCCTTCTTGTGTAATTCAGTCTTTCTTTTTTTTTTTTTTTTTTTGGGCGGGGTTTTTCTTTTTTTTTCCTATTTTTGTTTTTAATGGCGCAATCTCAGCTCACTGCAACCTCTGCCTCCTGGGTTCAGGCAGAGGTTCTCCTGCCTCAGCCTCCTGAGTAGCTGGGATTACAGGCACGCACCACCATGCCCAGCTAATTTTTTTGTATTTTTAGTAGAGACGGGGTTTCACCATGTTGACCAGGATGGTCTTGATCTCTTGACCTCGTGATCCACCCGCCTCGACCTCCCAAAGTTCTGGGATTACAGGCTTGAGCCACCACGCCCAGCCAATTCAGTCTTTCTTTATGAGAACAAGTCTACTTCTATATGAGAGACGAATTTAGCCAAGGTCAGATGCAAGGTCAGAACCTCATAATTAATTGCAATACAAAAGTCTATTACACGAAAGTAGCATTACAGTTTCTGCTCCATCCCATGTTTGGGTCATTCATGACCATGAAAGATGGTGTACAGTGCATAAAGATGCCTGTTCTAGGGATCAAGTTGGGGCTGAGATTAGTATCAACAATCTATTGTGTGGAGGAAGGAGTCCAACTTTAGAGGAAAGAAAATAACATTCCCTCCTAAATCCTGTACCCTGGTGGGTTTTATGGAACAAAGTATGTGAAAGATGAAGTGGTAAAAGAGAAAGTCTAAGAGCTAAATAGCAGACATGAAGGACCTTGTAAGTTTCTTTTTGAACATTTCTACTCTCTCCTAGTTTCCTACTCGCCTACCGTTCTTATCACACCCTCCGTATCAGTTTGTTAATTAATGCTCTTGATTCTCATTAAAAAATCCCAGAGAATTTTCTTTGGCTTCCTACTCTTGTCTCTCCACCACATGCCACTCTGTGATGTTTCCTTCTATGAGCATTTCACACCATGATTGCCTTCCTTCTAAATAATTCCAATTAATTCTATGATTTGACTCTGTCTTTAGTATTTGCCCATTTTGGTCCATTACAGCCACATATCTTCCTAATACACTTAATTGCCTCATACACTTCCTTCATAACACCACTCTCTTGCATAGCATCCCCAGTGCTCACAATATTGGGCTCATCTTTGTTCAGCAGCATTCAAAGTCTTCCACAGTTTGTTCCCACCACCTTTCTGGAATGTTTCTGGATTCCATATAGAGCCTCTCAACTCCAGCCTAAGGGCCTTGGTTGCCATAGCCACATCTTCATCACAGCCCTGCCTCTGCTGCTCTTGCCATTCGTAGAGCACCCATTCATCTTTCTCCACCTATGGAAATTCTACCCCTCCTTTCAAGCTCAGCTCATTTTTTGAGTTCTTAAGAAAGCCTTTCATGATCACCTGAGGGGAAGGGATCACTCCTTTTTACCAATTTTTATTCCATTTAAGTTCTGTGCTTCTCATTTATCACACATTTCTTTTCACTGTAGTAATATGTGGAAATGTCTTTTAAGTCCCATGAAAGATTATAATGTCCTGGAAGGCAGAAATTTGTGTAATATTTCTTTGTTTTTTCCTATTTCCTTCACAAAAAGTAAATTGTTTAGGAATTGACTTTAAACTCTGTGTGGATTTAAGACTAATTTAAACTAGGTGGGCATTTTTCCTTCGCAAAGTGGTGAAAACAAAAATAACAGGGAAGGTCAAAGAAAAATTCCTCTTCTTTCTGAACCTGAAAGTGCTCAGTGAACTAAGGTTTAAGGTGAGGAGAAAAATATATTTGGAAATATGTTTAAGGACCATACTTTTCATAAATAATTTTAGAGGTCTGATAAAAAATATTTTATTTTTTCCCCATGAAATGTATTTCTGAAGTGATTTTGGACAGTTTGTTGTTTTTATATGTGAACCTCTTTTGCTGTTTGTGCTCAAGGTAAAAGTTAGTTCATGTAAGAACAGGTCTGTGACAGAGTAGGGGCTTGGATGCTCTTGGGAAAGCAGTATTCTCTCAGAATGAAGAAAAGCACCTTGCAAAACAAGCCAAAGTTCTAGGGGAAAAGTTGGCAGAGCTGGGGAACAGTCGCTAAAACATCCATTGGCTTTTCACTTAACCCTTCCCAACCTTCCCTTGGTCAGTTTCTGATTAAGAACTTGTGTAGGGCACGGTGGCTCACACCTATAATCCCAGCACTTTGGGAGGCCAAGGCAGTCGGTTCACAAGGTCAAGAGATGGAGACCATCTTGGCCAACATGGTGAAAACCCATCTGTCCTAAAAATACAAAAATTAGCTGGTTGTGGTGGCACACACCTGTAGTCCCAGCTCCTCAGGAGGCTGAGGCAGCAGAATCACTTGAACCCAGGAGGCAGAAGTTGCCATGAGCTGAAACTGCATCACTGCACTCCAGCCTAGGGACAGAACAAGGTTCTGTCTCAAAAAAAAAAAAAAAAAAAGAACTTCCCCAAGGCTGGGTGCCTCACTCCTGTAATCCTAGCACTTTGGGAGGTGGATCACTTGAGGTGAGGATTTGAGACCCGCCTGGCCAACATGGTAAAACCCTATCTCTACTATAAGTCCAAAAAAATTAGCCAGGCATGGTGGTGGGCACCTGTAATCCCAACTAACTATTCAGGAGGCTGAAGCAGGAAAATCACTTGAACCCAGGAGGTGGCGGCTGCAGTGAACCAAGATTGCACCACTGCATTCCAGCCTGGGCCATACAGTAAGACTCTGTCTCAGAATAAATGAAATAAAAACAATAACTTCCCCAAAATGTGGTCATTATCTGTGCATGAAAATGGGTGTGGAGTGAGAGTGCAGGAAGTCCTTGTGATCTTCCACCCTGATTAGGAGCACTTGCTGAATGTGCCACTTGTTATTCCAGGTGCCAGAGATATCGTACAGGCTAGACTGATTCCTTGTGCTTAAGGAATGGGGAAGACAGATCAAAGCACGCAGACAAAGCTTGTGTTGTGTTTCATAAGCTTTGTCTGTGAGCTTCAAAATAAGCCCAGGAATTTGCTTTATGTCAATGATCTTGGAGTTATGTTCCACAAATTATGCTAACTAATCTTGAGATGGATTATTGGATTCTCTGGTAGTGTGCAAAGACTGTAATCCTCCCCAAGGCTACCACTGGTTTTGGACACACCCAAGAGTACACCCTCATCATTTTCTCAATTTCAATTCTTTATCTTGTTTCTCTGTTTCAGAACAAACTCAAAATAATTTAGGGAGAGTTTTGAGTTTGCTCTGAAATAGAGAAACAGTTTGTTCTGAATTAGTTTTATTTGATCAAACTAATCAAGTAAAATTATTCTAATTTTTTTTGGTGGTTAAAGAAATAACCGAAGTTGGATCTTCTTGAGGCAGCAGATTTGTTTGTATTAGGTTATCTGTTGTAAAAACCTTAGTCCCCATTGCTGTCCAAGATCCTCCCCCAGACAGCTGTTACTGGCACACCTGGCAGTGGCTGGGCTGCTTGCTAACCAAAACAGCAGCTGCAGCATCAATAGACAACATTTGTTACCACTCTAAATAACCAAACCACTTTTGTGCAGCTTCAGTTGCTCCGAATCATTTTTATCCCAAACCCAAGCATCTAGGGAAACAAAATAACATTATAACAGAATTAATAGAATTTTTTTTTTTGTTTTTGAGATGGAGTCTCACTCTGTCACTCAGGCTGAGCGCAGTAGTGCCATCTCGGTTCACTGCAACCTCTACCTCTTGGGTTCAAGCAGTTCTCCTACCTCAGCCTCTCATGTAGCTGAGATTACAGGCACATGCCGCCATGCCTAGCTAATTTTTGTATTTCAGTAGAGATGGAGTTTCAACCATGTTGGCCAGGCTGGGCTCAAACTCCTGACCTCAAGTGATCCACCTGTCTTGGCCTCCCAAAGTGCTGAGGTCACAGGTGTGAGTCACCATGCCTGGCCTTAGAATATCTTACTCCAGTGTTTTTCATATTGTGTCAACAGTAACCCAAAATTAAAAAAAATAGATCTTACATCATAACCCATAATACACACAAATATTAAAAAGTTTCATATGGCCATTCTTAACTGTAAGACAGAGTTTCTCCATTGACATTTTGGTCAGGATAATTTTTTTGCTGCACCAAGAGGAGGTTTCATCCTGTATAGTGTAGGGTGTTTAACAGAATCCCTGGCTTCTACTCACTAGTTGCCAGCCTCCATCACCCTACCTTGTTACATATCTCCAGACATTGCCACATGTTCCCTGCTTGAGAACCACTGCTCTAGTGTGTGTGTGATGCATTCTGCTGATTTTGATCCTCTTCTGTTTCATTTTTTAAAATGCTATTTGTGACCTAGTAAATTGTTTCACAACCTGCTAATGAGCTGTGAACAACTGCAGACAAACAAGGCCTTAACGCATATTAACACTGATCAACAGTAATGCGTATTAGCTGTGTGCCATGCAGAGCACTTTTGAGGCTATCAAAAGTATTTGGTATCTCAAGATTCCAGTGAGTTATGAGACAAGGAAAGGACATTGTGTTGAAGAAACTTGAATTTCATGTTATAAACATGTTGGCTTGAGCTCCTGTTGCTACTCACTAGCTATCTGACTTGGGGCAATTCTTGTGGCGGAATACAGACAGTGGCTTTCCTGCTTTTCTTAAGTGATGGACATGAGAGTTAGAGACTGTAAATAGAAAGGCTTAAGGAAAGTTACATACTGTAAAGAGAAAGGCTTAATGAAGTACCTTCTGACAGCTATGATAAAGGTCGTTATATGGAAGATTAATTCTATGAGAATTAAGAATTTTTGCAAAAGATTATTGCATAGCCACATCTGCTCAGCAAGAAAGCAAGAGGTGGCTAAGGGCACTGGGATTCTTTTTGTTTTTTCTTTGAAGAGTTCTAATGGCCACATTGCTGTGTACTGAGTTCTTACTGAGATACCAACACTGTTCTTTTTATTTATTTATTTTATTTTACTTTAAGTTCTGGGGTACATGTGCAGATCTTGCAGGATTGTTACATAGGTATACATGTGCCATGGTGATTTACTGCCTCCATCCCCCCCGTCACTTACATTAGGTATTTCTCCTAATGTTATCCCTCCGCAATCTCTCCACCCACTTCTATCCTTCCCCAGCCACCCACCCCCCCAACAGACCCCAGTGTGTGATGGTCCCCTCCCTGTGTCCATGTGTTCTCATTGTTCAACACCCATTTATGAGTGAGAACATGCAGTGTTTGGGTTTCTGTTCTTGTGTCAGTTTGCCGAGGATGATGGTTTCCAGATTCATCGATGTCGCTGCAAAGGACATGAACTCATCTTTTTTATGGCTGCATAGTATTCCATGGTATATATGAGGGCACTGTGATTCTTGAGGAATGCCTCTGAAGGGGAAATAGGGGCATTGGCCTGAAATCTCCTTCATTCAAGTTCTGACAATGCAGAGGGGTGCTGCTGATCCTAATATATCTCATATTTCCTAACTCTCCTTAGCATTTACTAACACTCCAGATGTAAACAGTACCTCAGAACGACCCTCCAAGGATGAAATGGCCAACAGACCATGGCTCCTGTATAGTTTACTTCCTTTGGGGGCATTGCCTCTACTCATCATTACCTGTTGCTTCCTGTTCTGCTGCCTGAGAAGGCACCAAGGTGGGTTCTATTGTCCTTCTGCCCCCTGTACCACACATTTGGGGCTATTCTTATTTCTGGGACTAATAGATTTTTAGTTTCTTCCTGTTATTTTCTTTCCCAATCCTGTGGTAAACCATAGATAGTGATTTTCTGGGAGACAACTCATACTTGTGCTGAAAAAGCAAATGGGTTTTGATTGGGGCTCCCTTGAGTCATGAGAGATGCATGCTTACCACAGCACACACAGTGTTCCAGACAGCTTGTGGCGAGCACAGCACATTGCTGAGACTTCGTCATTCTATCTGCATCAATCTTAGGTTTGTGTGAGAAAGAGCTCTTCTAAACGTAACAGGATTGAAAGTTGAGACAATGTCTCAGGTCAAGATACCTGATTTGAGTTATTTTGTACTGACCTCTTCTCTCAGCCACACCACATCATGCCATTACCTAACTGAAGAACCAGCACCCCCAGAGAAAATTAATATGTGTGTACTTTCTGTTGCCGTAAGAAACATATGCTTGACCTGAATCCTTACCCAACAATAATGCATTTGAAAAATGTGGGTTTGGCTATGATGGGAGAGGTGTGATATTTTGAAAATAATTCCTTTCTACTTTTATAAGAACTCCCTCAATGTCATGACCAAACATGTTAAGTAAGAGAGAAATGCATAGAGAATTCTGATCTAGCTTTGGCCTGAACCACTTCAGTTTTCTCTTTCCTTTTTCTTCTCCTCCATTCTCTCCCATGCCTGTTTTCACAACATCAGTTACAGTGTAGCTATAGAAATTGAGATAGATGGAGCAACCCTTATTCTGTGTGCCACAGGAGTAACTTTTCACTCAGCAAAAGTGCTTCTGGTATTGTGGAGTGAGAATTTCTGGAGTCCACAGCCTTCTCTGGATTTGGAATAATTCTCTCTTACCCCAATTCTTCATCTGCAACTCCATGGCTCTTTCTATGGCCTTTCTGTATCTTTCATCATCTTTCTCAAGACTTCTGGAACCTCTCTCAGAACTTCAGAAAAGGAGTCAGAGAGAAATCTTTTGATATACTACGTCTAAAGTGAACTAGGTAGTAAGAGATCTTGGCTACATAGGTGACAGGACAGCAGTATTTCTGGCATTGAGTATGGAATGTCCCCAAAGCAAGGACTTCCAGTCTTTTCCAAGTAATATACTAGGTCCTTCCCCTTCCTCTTAGATATGCCATGAGGCTATGTGGACTGAAAAGTGATGAACCAGAGAGAGAGCTGGTCAGTGTGAATTCTCACAAACAAGTGTGTGTGGCATGCTAGGCAAAGCAAATCAACAAGTCAAAACTAGTAACAGTACTATCCCAGGCATTCAACAGGGTAAGCATGGATGGCACAGTGGTTTACTTCTGTTTTCTTTACTCCTTTTGATTACTTATTTTTCCTTTTGTCTTCCAGGAAAGCAAAATGAACTTTCTGACACAGCAGGAAAGGAAATTATCCTGGTATGCTTGATGTATCTGTTGAAACAAATGAAATTTGTGTTATACTGTGTTTATTTTTTCAATGAATTTATATAACACTTACCATGTGCCAGGCATTATTCTAGGTATTCTCTCTCTCCATATATACATATACATGTGTAGACTCATTTTTTAAAATGTGAATTTTACATTCAGCTCTCTGCAGCAAAAGCTCTTTAGGGTTAAGTCTCATAAGTGGTTCTTTGGAAGTTCATGGAAGGCAGTATAGATCTGAGACAGAAAAGTCAGAGACTAAGCCATGCAGACTTGACTTGCTCTTGCCTATTATATGACTTCAGGCTATTCATTTATTTTTATGAAAACACCTTAAAATCTTTCTGGAAGAGAGCAGGGAGCTAATAAAAGAATGGATCTATAAATAGCCTCATAAAATATTAGATATCTTCATATATAACACCAGCAAAGTAGAAACATGATCTTTGGTTTAGTTGATGTCCCTGGCAATGTGTATGGGCTCATCAAGGAAGGGACCACCCAGACTAAAGGAAGGGAATTTTGGAGACAATCTTTCCTATAAGGTTTGGAATATAAATGTAGGCTTTTATTTTGAGTTGAATGTTATGGAGATATTAGAACTAGAAAAGAATGCAAGATGAGGCAATATATTTGTGGGAAAAATTCTGAAGCTAATTAAAACTGATTATTAGAGATACTGCAAAGAAACTTGATATGTGTGTGTGTGTGTGTGTGTTCCAGTAAGGAAGAATAGTGATAGAGATAGTAATCCTCTTAAAAATTCCACAAAAGACAAAGTCGATAAAGCCAATAATTCTATGTATAATATTAAATGGCATTCAACATTCCCCACCAAGCAGCTAAATTTTAAACCAAACCAAATACATTCAACTTGATAAACTTCTATGAAGTTTTAGTGAACATCAGTAGGCACTGTATTGGGTGCTAAGGCTTTGTTCCCTCAAATAGGGAAATTTTCTTAAATATTATTTTCTTTTTTTTTTTGAGATGGAGTCTCACTCCATCACCCAGGCTGGAGTGCAATGGAGTGATCTCAGCTCACTGCAGCCTCTGCCTCCGAGGTTCAAACAATTCTCCTGCATCAGCCTCCCCAGTAGCAGGGATTACAGGCACCCACTACCATGGCCAGCTAATTTTTTTTTTTTTTTTAGTAGAGATGGGGTTTCACCATGTTGGCCAAGCTGGTCTTGAACTTCTGACCTCAAGTGACCTACCCTTCTTGGCTTCCCAAAGTGCTGGGATTATAGGCATGAGCCACTATGCCTAGCCAAAATATTATTTTCTTTCTATAGTAAATAATAATGATAATTTCATTTGATTACAATAAGGCCTGAAAGCTATGAAACTATCTAAGACAAAAATCTAAATAATTTACTGTGCAAGTAAAATCCAGGTTGGTTAAGCTGTGGTCATTTTTCTTCCTGGGTAGGCTGGACAAATTATGATTTGAAGCTTAATTCAAAAGAGTTTTTTTCTGTGTGTGCAATAGTTTGGGAAGTTTGTTTCAAGGTATTCTTGCTATTCACAGAAATTTAAAGATTTTTGCTCCATTTCAGATGTCTAGCATTTCTGAAAAAAAAAAAGGATACCGTATTAGATCCTTGGGGCTAAATATTTCTTAACATAAAACTAGTAGGGGAACTGTGGAGAAATCAAAATACAGGAAGGAACTGGTAAAAACATGACAGCTACATATAAAAGCCAAAGCTCTGATCTTAATCCAGAAGGATCCTTTGAGGGCATAAAGTGCTTGCCTAATAAAAACCACTTAAAAGAGTATTGTACACTTAGAAGAGTGAATTTTATGGCATGTGAATTATATCTAAACATATACTTTAAATACATATTTTAAAGTGCTTTGTATACTAGTAACCTTCTATAGGAATGTAATGGGATTGCTGTTTCTGGCTTTGTCATCTCTACCCACAATATTGTCGTGGATTGGCCTTGTGGCACTCAGGCACATTGATGGGTGCCACAGCAGGGGTGCTACAGAGCACTATATTTTCTTTCACTCCATTCATTTTAACAAAATTTTTCGTGGAAATGAGCCATTTCTTGGGATGAAAGACAGGTAGACAGGTAACTGAATTGACAGGCGTAAACAGATTGAAAAGTATCACAGGAACCTTGTTGATATATTGAGGACTAAAGACTATTTTTCAGTTCACGTGACAGTCTTCTTTAGTGTGCCACCTACTGACTTCACCCAGGCTTCTTCCAGTGGAGTTGGGAGTACTTTTCATCTTAGCCAAACAACCTCTGCCCCCTTAGTCGCTCAGCCTTACTGTTATTTCTGGGCAGCCACCTCATCAGAGGGAGGCACAGTGTCAGGAATTATTACTTAGCTTCTCAGGGTAAAGCCAGACATGCTTGCATGATAGACTCTGCCAAAGAATTGCCATAGGCATCCTACTGCACACATCACAGTGAGGATGACAAAGGACCAGATAAAGTAGGTAGACTTTCAAAGACTGTGGACCTCATACCTTAAAAAAGTTAGGCCAGACTTCAAGAGCGTAAATTGATGGGCAAAACTGGAATTTAAAAAACGGAAATAACGGCCAGGCGCAGTGGCTCAGGCCTGTAATCCCAGCACTTTGGGAGGCCGAGGTGGGCGGATCACCTGAGGTCAGGAGTTTAAGACCAGCCTGGCCAACATGGAGAAACCCCATCTCTTTAAAAAAATTAATTAATTAATTAAAAAAAAAAAAAAAAGAAAAACTGAAATAGCCCTAGAATGAACACATCTGCTTTGTCAGGTGACCCTTTGTATAAGCAGGAATGGCTAATAAATAACTGAAGAGTGAGAAAACAACAGGACTCATTTTACTTTTTGTTTCTACACATTCACCTCTTTCTCAGAAGCGCTAAGATATTTGGCTATATTTGAAACTGTAAGAATTTTCTTGTGATAGAAATAACAACTGGAATATTGTTTTAGAACTTTTTCTAAGCTTTATCTTTCCAAAACTGACATCAGTTTTTTAATTTGAGGTCTCAAATTCTAATGATATACCATGGCTAACTCATAATATTTATCCTTTCTGTCCCCTTAGGAGGTATCTGTTCTGCTTTGTCCTTAATCTTTTTATTCTAAACTGCATTAAGTGCTATTCATTGTGTTATAAACTGCCTGAAGTTTTCATAGGATATTTTTTGCTTTTTCCATTAATTTGGGCTATGCTTTTCATCTTGAAAGGGGATTTAAAAATGTTCTGTGACCTCAAAGTAACCAGTAATAAAGCACAAAATATCTATTTAGGGGTACATAGTGATTCTCAAGCCTTTTATCCTTCAATAATTGAGATTTAGCAGAAAATGCAGATGTCAGCAGCATGTGTGAGGAATAGTAGATTATTTCTTACAATGGACATGACTCCATTTAAGCCTCTTATTCGCAGTTTGCCAATGAATATGCACTACCATGCCCCTAGGTATCACTTAAAACCATCTTTTTTCTATTATAGGTTGATGTTCCCTTTAAAAGTGAGAAAACAGAAGCAAGCACCAGGCAAAATTCCCAAGTACTGCTATCAGAAAGTGAAATTTATGATAATGACCCTGAACTTTGTTTCAGGATGCAGGAAGGGTCTGAAGTTTATTCTAATTCACGCCTGGAAGAAAACAAACCGTGTATTGTTTATGCTTCCCTGAACCATTCCATCATTGGAGTGAACTCAAGACACGCAAGACCTGTGAAAGAAGCACCAACAGAATATGCATCCATATGTGTGAGGAGTTAAGTCTATTTCTGACTCCAACAGGGGGCATCGAATGATCAGCGTGTCAACATCATCGTCTGGGACCAATAGGATGTCGAATAATATTTCTCAATTTGAGAATTTTTACTTTAAAAATGTTCATGTTAGTGCTTGGGCTTTAAGGGTCCATTGGATGAATGATTACAATTTCTCCCAGAAACTTATTTGGGAGCTTTTTATATTATAACCTTGAACAAGAAAATCTCTCCAAAACTGATTTATATCATGAGTAGCAGAATAGTAGAACATTTAAACTCAGCTCCATTTCACCCAATATACAAACTCAATCTTGCTTTTGAAGCTCTTGGAAAGACTTGTAGGGAAAAGAGGTTTGTGTTATCTGGATCGGTTTACTACACACTCTTGAAAACAAAATGTCTCAATTTGACTAACCAACCATAAATACAGTAATGATTTTACATTTCAAGTCAATCTTTCATGATAAGAAATTTTTCCTCTGTCAATCTAAGAATGGTGTTTCTTAAATGCAAAGGAGAAATCATTTTAGACTTGATGTAAGAAAATGAAAAGAATAAATAGTGCAATAAAAATATAGAATATACCAATTAGATGTAGAGTAGATGTTCTCCATATCTGGCAAGCAAATGCTTATATCTACTCTCTTAGATTGATAGACAAATACAGGTATTAATGGAGCAGTCAACGTATAGTACATTTATGAATAAAATAGTGACTCACTGTTTGGGTCACATAGACTGATGGATAAGAATATGACATAATGCTGCTGAATTAATAGACTTATGGGCATCCGAATAGCTTAGAAGTTAGTCAGAATAGGTATTATTGGGCAAGTGAAGATTGATAGCTTAAACTGCTTCATGCTTAACTTGATAGCAAGTTAAAGTGCAATTAACGGAATGGTGGAAAACCCAGAATATTTAATTGGTCAGCAGGGGTCAATACGCTTTCATTCACCACATCTGCATCTTGCTGTTATTCTTACTAAGGAATCAGGGCAAATTATCTGTAGTGACATATTTTAGTTTGCTAATCATTTATTTTAAAATACTGAGGTTGCAGCCACTTAAGAGCACAGCAAAAGATGGATTCAGATATTTGGAATTTCCAAAGTACTTGAGTTAAATTATTTCAAAAGTACCCTATAACTTTATTCAACAGTTTGAGGTGATTAGAATTGTCAGGTGCTGCTACTGAATAATGTAATAGTCTTCATACAAAGTGGATAGCAAAGGTTAAAATCCATTTGAACAAATATGTGAGCTGAGCTGCTGTACAAATGAATGTGACCTGTGTGTGTGTGTGTGTGTGTGTGCGAGCGTGCGCATGTGTGTGTGGTGTGTATTTTAGGTGGGGTGGGTGACAACAGAAATGGTGCATGATCAAATTGATATTACATTTTCAGTTTGCTTTTGAAGCTCAAAATACTAGATTAAATGGGTCATTAAAGAAAATAATGTGTGAAATTATGGAGTTGAGAGTATAAGTGGGGTAAACATATACAAAGACAAAACTGAGGTTTTGTGGTGGAGAGAGTTTCTTATATAACACTGGCATTACATTTTAGCTCCTTAGATTTGGGAGTGCAGATATTCTTTTGAGTCACTGTTATTTAGCCAATTACACCTAGAATTTTAAGCAACCAATTCTAGATAGGCTCTTTTAGCCAGGCTGCATTTGTGGACGACTTATGTAAGAAAGACATCTAGCTGCTTGTGGTATTCTTAAAAATAGAAACAGGAAATATGGGGAGGATACATTTAGCTGTCCTCTTATCAGATGAACACACAAAGCTGAACAGTTCCCTTATGATTCTCTCAAACTTAAAAGCAAAATATTTCTGTCTTATTTAGAATATTCTTAGTATGTCTTACAGTAAAGATAATGCTGATAATGATTTCATCTCTATGATTTATTAATATATTTGTACTATTTGCCAAAATCACACATCATTCATGTTTTTATTCCTTTTCAAAATGGTGTCAGAGATATATATGTATTTTCCCAAATGAATCTATTTCACTATTATTTAGGCTTATTTCCTTAATTTATAATGGTTTGAGCAAAAGAATATGTAGATAATTTAATGGTTTTTCACAAATTTTAAGCTTGTTGATTGTTCTCAATAAGAAGGTAAAGTTATTAAAACTTATTTGAAATCAATTTGGCATCTGCTTTTGTACCCCAAAATGTGTGGATATGAATAGAAGACTGGCACATAAAAGCGACCTGACTAACTTACTAAACTGCAGAGCACTAACTTGCAGCACTAAGAAATTCTGATTCAGGAAGTCTAGAAAATAGCTCTTTAATCTTCATCTTTAAAAGACATGCCTGCCAATTTTAATATGTTTCCCAGTGTCCACAATCTGAGAAACTTAGTAGACGTTAGGTTTGGTATATGTGGTTTATCTGATCAGTTTTGTGCACCAACCAAAACTATCTAGTCCCCAGAATGGATTCTCTGGTGTGATCATATCTATTTTGCTAAATATATAAACCTTTTTCAGAGCACTTTCAGGTTTAGCAAAGCTGAGCGGAAAATATCGAGTTTCTATACCCTCTTCCCCCACACATGCACAGCTTCTCCCATCATCAACATCCTGCATTTCAGTGGTATATTTGTTACAATCAATAACTAGAATTGACATGTCATTATCAACCAAAGTTCATGGGTTACATGAGGGTTCACACTTGATGTTGCAATTCTTTGGGTTTTGACATGTATAATGATGTGTATCCACCCATTATAGTGATTTACAGAATAGTTTCACTGCCCTAAAAACCCTCTCTGCTCTACTCATTTATCTCTCCCTCCCAGCCCCTGACAACCACTGCCTCTATTGCTTTGCCTTTTCCAGAGTGTCATATATTTGGAGTCATGCTCCAAGTAGCCCTTTCAGATTTGCTTCTTTCACTTAGTAATATGCATTTAAGTTTCCTCCGTCTCTTATCATGACTTGGTAGTTCATTTATTTTTAAAGGTGAATAATATTCCATTGTCTGAATGTACCACAGTTTATCTGTTCATCTACTGAAGGACATTTTTGTGGCTTCCAGGTTTTGACAATTATGAATAAAGTTGCTCTAAACATTTGTGTGCAGGGTTTTAAAAACATTTCAATTTGAAATTCAGGGGTGCATGGGCAGGTCTGTTATACAGGTCTAGTGTCATGGAGGGTTTGTTGTACAGATTATTTTATCACCCAAGTATTAAGCCTATTAGTGCCCATTACTTATTTTATCTGACCTTCTCCTTCCTCCCAACCTCTACCCTCCAGTTGGCCTTAGTTTCTGTTGTTCTCCTCTCTGTTTCCATGTGTTCTCATCATTTAGCTCCCACTTATAATTGGGAACATGCAATATTTAGTTTTCTGATTCTGCGTGGCTTCTAGCTCCATCCATGTTCCTGCAAAGGACGTGATCTCATTCTTTTTTATGGCTGCATAGTATTTCATATGTACCACATTTTCTTTATTCAGTATTCCATTGATGGGCATTTAGGCTGATTCCCTGTTTTTCTATTGTGAGTAATTTTGCGGTGAGCATATGCATGTATGTGTCCTTATAGAAGAACAATTTATATTCCTTTGAATATATATATATCCAGTAATGAGATTGCTGGGTCAAATGGTAGTTCTGTTTTTAGCTCTTTGAGGATTTGCCACACTGCTTTCCACAATGACTAAACTAATTTACACTCCCAACAACAGTGTATGAGCATCCCTCTTCTTCTGAGCCTTTCCAGTGTCTGTTATTTTTTGACTTTTTATAATAGCCATCCTGACTGGTGTGAGACAGCATTGTTGTGGTTATGATTTACATTTCAATTTTTAAATCCTTTGAGGAAATACCAAGGAGGATGATGGCTGGATTGTATGGTAAGAGTATGTTGAGTTTGGTAAGAAATTGTCAGATTATCTTCCAAAGTAACTGTACCATTTTGCATTTTCACCAGTAATAAAGACTTCTTGTTATTTCACATCCTAGCCAGAATTTAGTGATGTCAGTGTTTTGGAATTTTGCCATTCTAACAGGTGTGTAGTAGTATCTTATTTTTTTAATTTGGAATTCCCTAATGACATACTGTTTTGTATCTTTTCATATAGTTATTTGTAATCCATGTATTCTGTTTGGTGAGGTGTCTGTTCAGATCTTCTGCTCATTGTCTAATTGGGTTGTTCATTTTCTTGTTGAATTTTAAGAGTTCTCTGTATAGTTTTGATAACAATCCTTTATGAAATATGTCTCTTTTTTAGATTGCATGTAGTCTTTTTTTTTCTTTTTTAAATTTTAGATTCAAGGGATGTATGTGCATGTTTGTTACATGGGTATTAGCCCAACATGCTAAATAAGTATCTACATTTTAACAAGAGCTTCAGGTAATCAGTACGCACTTTGATGTTTGTGAATCTTGTGTTCCACTTAACCTTTGTGAACCCATCTTTCTCCACCCAAAGTCAGGTGTGGTAGGACTCCATGTCACATTTATAGGACACACTAATTTAGAAAGTTCTTTTTTAGGCAGAAACAAGAAAGGCCAGAAAGTAAAAATGACACGTGAGAGAGCATAGTGCTATTTTATAGAAGTTTTGCTAAACTTGAGAACATGAGAACTGAAAGTCCTATCCTAGAAATCAACTAGCAGTTTCAAAAATAAATTCTGAGGTTAATCTTTAAAATCAGGCCCCCAAAATAAGAATGAAAACAAAAATAAATAAAAATAAAAAATAAAATCAGGCCCTTATTTTTAAGTTGGTCAGGGTAAACGTGCCATGGCAATTGTTTTATCTGTGCACAATTTATAACCACCTATTATCACCTACCAGTTTGCTAGATTCTGAGGTTATATGGTTGAGAAAGATTTCATTCCTGCCTGACACTGCTTATGATATAGATGAAGAAGTAGATGTTAAACAAAAAATTACAATCCCATTGTTGAGGAGACAGGTGCAAAATATTGTGAAAACACCATCGAATTTTAAGTTTCCTGACTATAAGAACTATGTATTGTTCAGTGGAGTAGCGTTCATGTTCCTGAGACTGAGAGTTTTTGAGGGGACCCTAAATAATCACATTCCTCTGGCTCTACAGATTCTTAACCAATTGACAAATAGAGGAGTCAGATTGGGGTTAATATCAATAGTAAAGATGGATTGACAAGCACAGCTTGGGCTCAAAACTAAAATGTATTTCCTACCCATTCCTCCACCTAATCTTGCTTGACTTTGGGACCTCTTTATAGGAGATTTAGGTCTACAGAAAGATACTTACCCAGTCATTTGGGGAATGTCAGCCTGCTTCAAGTTTCCTTGATTGCAGATGAGAATCAGAAACATAACTACAACCTCCTTGCCTTTGATGCAAGAAGTTCTTTCAGAGGTTAATGTGGTAAAAAGGGTGAGAAGCTCTGCCCATCACACCAGTATGTTAAATCAATCCTCTTTCCATAAGGAGAAGACTGCAGGAGGGCAGATCATAGGAGAACCCTGTATCATGGCTAAGGTGAGAGCATGAGGAAAGCAAAACAATGACTTTTTCCTAGTTCGGGAAAAAGGCAAGTAATCACTGAATGCTAAATTACTGAACTGAATAAATTAAAAATAAGAAGCAACTACTTCTTTCAGGGAAGTCAAATAATGTCATTTGTGTCTTCTCTTAGAGTGAGGAAAAAAGGAGGAGAGAATTTTAATTGCAGAAAAGAGCCATTCAAAACAGCATGGCACGTTCTGAGATTGGCCAGGCACTCAGTGGCTGTAGATTAGGTTACAGGGAGGGACTTACAAAATGTAAGACCAATTTTAGTTGTAATTGGCACTTAAATAGAATGTAGGTAGCCAAAGTTCTTTCCTGTACGTTATACAAAACACTGTGAAAGATCTATTGGCAACAATTTTCTCTTTAAGCTTCTTGGCTGTCACAGATGTGCATAACTGACGTGCTGTTAAAGTCATAAAATTTATTTTTATTTTAGACAATGTTATTACAACTTATCCAAATCTTAATAAATGTTTAACAGTTGATAAATGATTTTAGTTGGGGTTAAATACAAGGAAGAACAGTATTGAGTAGAATTTTAGCAAATCCTATGAGATCATAACCAAATAGAGGTTAGAAACCTCAAACTTTCTTATCTGCCATTCACAATCTACCTTAAAATAATTAAAAATATTAGCTCCAAACTTGGTAATAACAGATTATATTGTTCTTTAAACTTTTGGAAATGTGTGTTTGCTTTGAATAATATGCTATAATATGATTGGAAAACATATGATCCCTAAGTTTATTTGAATAACATTGGTGTTTATTATGCATCTTTAAAAAAAAAAGTTAAGAAGTGAAAAATAAGTAGTAACATTGCCAATCTCTTCCAAGGAAGTATTCCAACTAATAGTGGAGCTAGCCCACAGGTTGACTAACTGATATATGAAATTGAGACCTACGCTTTAGGGCTTTCTATGGCTCATAATCATATATTTATAAGCACTCCACAATATTTTACCTCATAATTCTTGATCACTTGACAATAAGATGTTTATAATGATTGATATCTACCATTTATTTATTGCTTGTCTATGTGACAAACATTGCTCTAAGTCTTTTAAATTTACAACTTGTTTAATTCTCACAATCACCTCATGAAGGAAGTAGTTATCATTCTCGTTCTACTGATCAGGAAAATGAGGCATACAGTCATCAAGTAACTTGTCCAAGTTCTCATCTCTAACAAGTGATAGAAACTAAATCCCATCCTAGTAATCTGATTCCAGAACCTATGTTCTTACCACAGCACCAACTTGAGAAGCAATGGAGAAGAATTTGGGATTGTTTTAGACTCTGTAGCATGCAAAAGAAAGCCTTAGATTTGTGCTGAAACCATCTCAAGATTGTTTGATTAAGCCCTGTTTAAGAGTGGTGATACTTGCAATTGCCCAGTTATCAGTGTTGGGCCATCAGTAGAAGGAAGGAATTGAACTAGGCAAAGATCTGGCACTACATTGGAGAGGATAATACTCATGCTGATGGCAAGGGCAGAAATACAAGCAATAGGTGCCAGTGGGTCATGTTTGGTTAGAAGATGATAATCTACAGAATTCTACAGATTCCAGGTACTATAGACCTATTCCATATGGACTGATAAGAGGATGAATCTTCTTTAAGATTTGGCCTTGGAGTGATTTTGGATTTTTAGGTGCCAGCCCTAATGGCCAGAGGTTTTCTGATTAGTAAGCATTTCTTCTTCTTCTTTTTTTTTTTTTTTTNTTTTTTTTTTTTTTTTTTTTTGATTACAAAATACCTTTTATTTTTAACCCAACTTGTTAAAGGGGCAGATAAAGACTTTGGCAAATTTGATTAACAGCACAAAATAATATTATGCAAACTGAATAATTTATTGCTGGTCCGAGGCTTGCCTTGTTTTACACTTAAGCAGAATTTATACTGTTTCCACAAATAGCAGATATCAACATTTAAAGGAATTTAATAGTGACCTATTCAATAAGGCAATCATCTTGGTAGCAAACATTTATTTAAATCTTACATAACTCAAGCTTTATAAAAAGCCAATATAATTGAAAATTGGGTTCTCCCTCGAAAGCCTTAAGTATTGGAAGCCTGAAACAGTTAATTAAAAATAAGCAAACAAATAAAACAAAAAACCCTGCCAGCAGATCCTGCTGAAATACTTAAAAACAAAACAGCTAAATGAGCTTAATCTTTACAAAAGTTATTGTAGCTCAAAAGCTATAAAATCAAAGTCATCTTAATTCTACAAAGAAGGGAGAGGGTCTTTGACTTCATGCCACCATTTCCTTAGAACCTCATCTTTTTCATCAAATCTGGCCAGGAATCAAATTTCCGTGTGCCCCTGACTTCAGGAGAATTCCTGTTGCAGAAGAGGCCAGGTACAAACATGTAAGAGTAACTGCCTAAGCAAGTAGGAAAATGTTCTGCAATAGTGTGCAAAGAAGAGGAGTTCTGAATTAATATCTGGAACTCGACCTGGACCTTGATCTTGACTTTGAGCGAGATCTAGAACGGGATCTTGAAGTAGCTCTTTTTGGAGGAGGGGCCACAGAACGAGCCTTTGAGGGGTGAACAGGTTGTGGCGAATTGGAACGGGACTGGATTCTTGATATCACCCTTTCCATTTTCTTTGGGGGATCGGGACCGAGACCTGCTTCGAGATTTCTCATACTCATCCTTAGATCTGCTTCGAGAATGTGAATGGAAGCCCCGATCAGACTTGGGCTTAGATTTGCTCTTTGATCTAGATTTCCTGCCTTTTGATTGAGAACGTGACCGACCTTTGCTCCGCGTCTGGAACGGGAGCGACTTTTTGAGATACTTCGAGATCTGCTGCGGCTGCTCCTGCGACTCCCACTTCATGACCGTCTTCTAGATCGACACCTGGATCTGCTTCCAGAGTAAGATCGCCTATGGCTTGTGCGTGGCTTGTCTTCAATAAGCCTAGTATTTCTGCCATTTATTTCTGTACCATCCAGTTTGTCCAAAGCACGCTTCCTGTCAGGGTAGGAGCGAAACTCAATTACACCCTCATTTGTTCGTTCTTTGTGGGCATCCGCATAGGTTACTTCACCTGCTTGTCGCATAAAATCCTTTAAGTCTTGCCAACTGCACCGACTAGAAAGATTTTCTACAATAAGCCTGTATTCTGTATGAACAGGTGGTCCGTATTTGTCTCTGCCAGACGTTCTCGGACTGCTGCATCCACCTGCACCACTGCGGCTTCCGTAGCTGTAGCCGTCGCGATCGCGACGCGGGCCGCGGGCGTGCTCTACGGTCACGCGCTCGCCGCAGAGCTCTTGCCGTACAGCTCGTAAACGGCGTCTTCGGCGTCGCGGGAGTCCTCGAACGCCACGAAGCCGTACCCATTTTTGAGGTTTACTTCGAGGAGGCGGCCATAGCCACTGAAAAAGCGCTGGATGTTCTTCTCCTGGACGTTGTGGCTCAGGCGTCCTATGTAGACGCGCTGCCTGTCCGTGACGGGCAGGGGCCCAAGGGCTGGTTGTTGAACCGCGGAGCGCAAGACAGTAGCCGCGGTGCGGGTGCGGGGACCGCAAAAGCCGGAACACGCGCCTCACACCGCAGCGGCGGCCGAGTCCAGCCACACAGGCACATTTCTTCTTTTGACTTAATTATTGTCTCCTGTTCATGTGAGTTTATTACTCCCGTTGAAACCAAGTGATTACCAATAAGTGGTATAAGAAACTGGCACAGAGCCCAACAGAGTGAAAGAAGCTGGATTCAGAGCCAATGGCATTTTAATGCCGGAATCTCTAACGTAATTCCCATGTAGACCTGGTCCTAGACTGTGGTTGGCTTAAATATTTCTTCAGATAAAAACAAGTATCCAGATATGTCTGGAGAAGAGAATTGAAGAATTAGAGAATCTACAGATTCCTAACAACAGTGATGGGAGAATTTATGGAGCTTAGGCAGACCTGACCTTTCTCACCACAGCTCCTTGGCCCTGGAGAAGCATCGATATGTTGGAAAAACAAAGGAGAAATAGTGACAAAGTCAAAGAGAAGAGGCTCAAGGGTTTAGGAATAAGATTATTGAACCAGGATTGCAGTTAAGGTAAGTTTTGTCATCTGTAAGCTAAAAATGCACCCTAGTGATCATGGGTAAGCCAGAGAGTATCCCATTTGTATAACCCACATATCACACAAAATGTCCTAGTTTTAAACTCTTTTCGCTGACGATGCTTTAAAATATAGTGACCTTGTGGTATACATGATTCCACAAGAACCCAGAACAACTTCCAAGTTCACACAATCTGTTTTTTATTAAAAAAAAAAAAAAAAACACTGCCTGTTCTGCATTGTATCTTGACTATATTAAAGCATCTTAGAAATCTCAAAAAATGGTACTATTAGTAGCTATAACATACTTATCCACATAGTCTCACACACATATACATTCAGACATAAAGATTTATACACACAGACACACACACACACACACAGACACACACAGTTCAAATAATGAAAACTAAAAATTTTAGAATTGCTTCCTCTTAGAGGGAGGAGAGTAGTGTGGAATAATTAAGGATGGAAATGAGACCAGAGAATGTACTTTGGTATAGAGTTTGACTTAGAAATAATGAAAATTATTTGCATGATTAAATAATAATACTTCGTAAATAAAAAGCAATTCCTCAAATTGAAGACAAACTGAAACAAACTTAACTGTATATTAGATTGATGACATACCACATAGAATAATTATGTCAAATGACTTCAGTAATTTGACTATACAACCTTGCAGGGATATATTACAAGAATTAAAAAATATATATATATTTTAATCTTCACTTTGTGCTTGTCATAGTAATATTGATATTATTATTTTATTTTATTTTTTGTTTGTTTCTTTGTTTCTTTTGAGACAGGGCCTTACTCTGTTGTCCATGTTGGGGTATAGTGGCATGATGATAGCTCATTGCAGCCTTGAACTCCAGGGCTCAAGTGATCCTTCCACCTCAGCCTCCTAAAGTGCTGGGATTACAGGAAGGAGCCACCATGCCTGGTGATATTATTTTAAAAATAATATGTGGAAAATATAGTATACGGCAAGTATGTATGTTAATATATTTAGAAATATAGCTTTCTTGTATAACAAAAATTAGCAGAAGTATGGAATTAAAGATTTTAATTAAGAGCCCTGAAATTCAAGTTTTGAATTGGAAGTATATACATAAACTCCTAATTTTATTTATTAAAAATTATCTATTAAATAAATACTTTTATTTATTAAAAATCTGACTGCTGAAGCAAAACAATCTTGAAAGGGAAAAATGCATATATATTTCTCTCATTGTTAATGATTTTAAAGCCTTAAAATATTTCCAAATGTAAATCAGTAAAATATTTAAAGAACAATGTACTAGAACTAAGTGAAACACATCTATCTCCAGGAACAATAAAAACAATACCACCAGTGGGTAAAAGAGAAAACAAAACACTATAACTCTGTATCATATCCAGAATGCTCAAAAATTGCTGTTCCTACTCATTCATTAATTCACTCAACACATATTTACATATTTTTGTGGTAAGCTTGTTATATGCCAAGCCCTGTGCTAAGCTCTTTGGAATTCAAATAAATTTTTAGAAGGCTTGTTGCCTGGTGAACGAGCCATAAATAGATAATTGTCTCACCTAGCGGTTACTGTGAAGATTGAAGTTCATTTGAGCGCTGTGAGTGCTTGGAAGGGCATTAGTCTGGCCTTGGTGTGGTCAAGCATGTCAGGAGCAGTTGTTCTCATATGATTCAAAATTTAGACACTATAAACAAGAATAGATACTATAATTTGGTTCTCATAGATGCCTTTAATTAAGAGGGCTTGAGGCATGAAAACTAATGTGAGGGAAAAACAGCTTTTCTCAAACATTCCAAAATCATTAGCCATCCATCAGAATACAGTTGGATGGACAAGTAGCTAATTTTATATAATTAGCTATGGGCCAGGCAGTGTGCCACGGGTTTTGCATGGTTTATCTCATTTGATCCTTACAACATCTCTAGAGGTAGGAGCCAATCTCAGTTGATGAGAAACCGTGTTTAAAGAGGTTGCCCTTTTGCAAAACCCCTTAAAGTTAGAATTCTGTCATTGGCAATAAACAAATTTAATTTATGTGTTTGCTAAAACAAATCCAATTAATGATGCTTTCTGTTTAGAACATTTCATGAATTTTTCCTTGCCTGTAAGACCTTCCCCCTAGGATGTGTAAGCAAAGGACGATAGACCAAAGCTGGGTTGTGATGAGAGCTTGAGCTGCCAGTGGCACTGGGAGTGGGTTGCCCATAGGTCACAGGATATGCAACTAAAATGGACATCAGAGAAGTAGTATGCAGAGCAAATCTAAATCCATGTCCAGGCAGATGGTCCAACCAGGTTGTCTGACTGAAGGGAATAAATAGAGAGAAGTGAAAATGGGAAGAAACTAGGTTAGAGTGGGTGGCATGCTTGAAGCAAAGGATAAGCGGAGAAGCTTTGAGGAAAACTTTGTATTATGGAGACATAGTGAGGCTGTTCATCCCCAGAAGATTCTTAGTGAAGTCCCAGAAGCTTTTGGATTTTCAGGCTCCTCAACCTCGGGCTCTTTTTAAAATTTAAATCATATCTGAGGACAATGGCTTTCAGCTCCAATCATCATTTCTTTCTGATGAGGTCTCTGTTAAATGTACACATTGCTGATGAATAGCAGCTGGAATAGGAGACTTTTGTTTATGTGTATGGTTGGGTTTTAAAGAGCCCTGTTTTTAAAGATAGCTATTCCAACTCTGCGTCATCCCAGCTCCTGACAATGAAGTTCAAAACATTCCCAGCGACTCTACTACCCCTTGACACCCAGAGAATCAAGAGCAGTTGGATGTCAAAGGAATTTCCTGAAGTGTTTCAGCTTGGCTTAGAAGCAGTCTTAGCTAATTCCTTTTTAAAAAAAAAAATTTAGAGATGAGGTCTCGTTCTGTTGCCTAGGCTGAAATGCAGTATTAGCTAATTCCTGACTGAGAAATGAATTTGTGAACACTCAGCATGAGAGGCAGTAGTCCACCAAAATACTGTACTCTGAAAAGTCAATTTGACTAGATCCTTTGGTTACAAAACATTTCTCCCTGCACCCCCCTCTCGCTTCTGTCCTGGGAATAGCAGGAAGAGGGCCCTGCCTTATTATTTTGGTCAGCTCTCTGTGGGCTACTTTCCTATTTATTCTGGTCAGCCCAGTTTCCTGCAGCTGGTCTCTGTTCCCAGACCTCACTGCTCTGTTTTGAAGAAAGTTTCTTCACAGGACTTGGCCCTGCCTGATGTGGTTTCGTTCTAATTTGGATATCTATAGCCACAGCTCCATGCTTAGGTAAATACTTCAGTCTGGCACTGAAGGATATTGGCTTTATGTTGTCTGGGTTTAACTGCAGATTCTCAGTACCTTTGCCAGGGATGCTTTCTCTGCCCTGGCTGGTAACTAGACTCTTCCTAAGTTCTTAATAAATATTATCACAAAATAAATGTTGTCATACATAGGAATTTACTTTATCGATGTGATTCATTAAGTTCTCATATTTCTGTTAGCCTCCTGTGCTTTCTGTTTCTCTTCTCTTTCTATGTCACAGAGCCAACTCTCTGTAGTCCCTTTTCCTAAACATCAACACAGATAAGGGTAATCTGCATATTCTTCAGAAGGACATTTTAAAGTCTTTGCAATTTGGCTCCAGATTACACCCCCAGCTTTATCTTTCCCACTTTATTTCATACCTAATAGACAGAAAAGCATACCCAGAATCTAAGAATACAAAACCTAAACCATCTTAGCCTTAGAGTCCCTGAATCTTTGCAGAGATAGCAAGCGCATAAAAGGGATCACAATTTGATTCTCTTTCTACACAATAGGTTGGTCACTGATGTTTCAGTCAAATCCTGAAGATCATAATGCTTGCTTTCACACTGGATTCAGCATGTCTTTAAAATTAAGTCTGTATAATCATAGCATGGTAAAATTGGTGTTCAGTTCTACTTTTCCAGTATGTCCATAGGGGAAACAGGAAGATAGCTCTTCTCCCTAGCCTTCCTGCTAATTCATAGCATGTAACCTCTTTATGTTTCCATAATATTTTATACCTCTGTAGCCTTGAACATGTGTTCTCTTCCATTTGTTGACTGCATATTTTCCACCATTTTGCATCCTGGACAATTCCCACTCATTTAAGATTTAATTCAAGTGTCACTTCTTTTGTCAGTTCTTTCATAGTTTCTCCAGCAGAATTATTTCTACCCCATTATGTGTTTCCTCACAATTATGGATTATAATTATTTCTTTGTGTTCTGAAAGTTACCTGACCTATTCATTCACTTATCCCTTGAGGTCAGGGATTGTATTCTTCAGGTATATGTATTCATTTCCAAAACAATGCCTGATACCTACTGGAAACACCACAAATATTTATTTTAAATAAATGTTATTTTATATATAAATCCATTACATCAGCAATTTCCATTACACTGAAATTATTTATTCTTAGATTTAGGTATAATCTGGTTAAACTAATTTTTCTTTTTTCTTTTTTTTTTCTCTTT